AAATTGATTCATCAGATTCTAAAATATAAAGAGGAACTTGCTGAATTTTTTAGGGATGAACTTCGTATAATCATTGATCCTTTTGAATTTGTTATTGTTGAAAAATTGAATGCCGTATTAGAAGTTTTTAATAACGCAACTCTTACTTTTTCTCATGTTTACCAACCAACTACAAATACATTTTTAAAAGAGTGCGTTATAATCGCAACATGTTTTCGTGAAAGTAAGGCTGATCCAGATTTGTACCCATATGTCTCTCCTATGATACAAAAATGGTGTGCTTATTATTTGTAGATTCCTGATATTTATAAAATAGGTATTATTTGTGATCCACGCTTTAAGATTGAAAATTATAAAATTTTAATTGAGTATTACTACAGTTGTTTTTTAGATGAAAATAGTTATTACTACAGTCATTTAGTAGAATGGAAAAAAGAAAGAGATAATGCTGTAACTTTTTTAGAAAATTTGTTTGAGGAATATTAGGGGTTATACGGCACTGTACAAGAAGAAGCAGCACCACCTCCGCCCCCGAAATAAAAAAAAAAAGGTTTTGCCGGAATAGTCGGTGGTCTTCTTGCAAAGAAAGGGAAGCGTGCTCATTCTTCGACGAGTTCAAGTGGTACAACAGTAAGCTCGCACAACGAACTTGCTATGTACCAGGGTGTGCCATGCAATTACGACGACGATGACGTGGATTTTGATGTGCTCGGATGGTGGAAGCGGAACGAACACATGTTCCCATGTCTCGGCATGCTAGCAAGACAAGTGTTATCCGTTCCGGTATCAACCGTAGCAGTTGAACGAGAATTCAGTGCTAGCGGCAACATTCTAACCAACTTTCGAAGTTGTCTTAGCGCTGAATCTCTTGAAACACTGGTTTGCAACCAAGATTGGCTCTTGGCAAGACGTCGAGCTCAAGAGTCATCGTACCTACTCGAATCGGAGCATTACATGAATGCAACAACAGATGGAAGTCCGAGTTCTGAAGAATAAGTTATAATTTTTTTATGTTAATGTAGATATGTAATTAGTTT